TGCTCCTTTATAATGGTGGCTGCTAAATCATTTTTGATCCTGATTCTAGCTCCTTAGTACTTGAATTCTTTCTTTCTGGCTGCTTTAACCTGGAAGCTCTGGATTTTGTCTATAATATTCCTGGGAATTTTCATTTGGGGCTTTCTTTCATGAAGTGACTAGTAGATTTTTTTTTTATTTCCATTTTTCCCTCTGGTTCTAAAAGATCCAGACAGTTTTCATTTTAAGATTTAAGATTTTTAAGATTTCTTGAAATATGTTTAACCATTATTTTTTGTCATGGTGTTCAGATTCAATGATTCTTAAATGTTTTCCCTTTAATATGCTTTCCAGGACAGGGTTTGGTTTTCTTTTCTTTTTTCTTTTTTTTTGGGGGGGGGGGGGGGGGTGGGTTTTGTTTTTTTTTTTGTATTTTTCCCTTTTTTTTTGTTTTTTCTTATTTTTTACTTTTTTTTTTTTTTTTGGGTGGGGTGGGTGTTTTTTTTTTTTTTTTTTTTTTTTTTGGGGGGGGGGGGGGAGGTTGGTTTTGTTTTTGCTATGAGATATTTCACATTTTCTTCTATTTTTTCAAACTTTTAACATTATTTTAATGTTTTGTGTTGCCTCATGGAACCATTGGTTTCCATTTGGTCCATTCTAATTTTCAGGGATTTTGTTGCTTGCACAACGTTTTGTACCTCTTGTGCCAACTTGTTAATTCCTTTTCCAATTCTTTCTTCCATAGTGTTCATTTCTTTTCCAAATTCTTCCTCAAGCACTCTCATCCCACTTATAAAAATTTTTTTATCTCTTTTTAATTCTTGCTTCATCTTTTCCAGGAATTCTAGTTGAGTTAGTGCTCAAGCTGTGTTTTTCTCTGAAGTATTGTTTGTAGATGTTTTTTGGATCATCCTCTTCTTTTGGGTTTGTGTCTTGAGAGTCTCCGCCCAGTGAGATTTTCTGTTTGCTCATTCTCCCAGCCCACTTCCTGACTTCAGACTTGATATTAGGGCTGGGATCTGCCATACTTTGGAAGGGAAGGTCTATGTTGATCCTGATGCTGCTTTCCTAGGGTACTGAGGATTGTGTTATTCCAGGATTTCAGAGACAGGCTGGAGACTTGCAAGCTTTTAGTGCTACCCAAGTGGTCTGACCCAGGGCAAAGTTTGATTGCTGCTCCCCTGGTCTAAGCTCTACATGTTCCTGACCTAGGGTAGATGCTGCAGGACTTGGTCCCTATCAGCCAGCTGAGATGTGCTGATTTTTTCAGAGTGGCAGAATTGTAGGCTTGCCTTTGGTTTAGGTTCATAATTCTTCGTAATTCCTCTATAGACTGGGCTGAATGCTGGAGTTGATACCCTACCCTGCTCCTCGGGTCTGAGCCACACTGCCACTCCTTGCTTCTGAACTTCCTCCTTTCCAGGTACACAGGTGCACCACCCAGGGCTTCCCTATCTGGAAATTCCACCCTCAGGAGGAGCAGGTCCCCTTTTGCATGTAACCCAGAACTGGGTAGTGGGGCAACAAAGCTTCTAGTTGGCATCTGCCCCCTTCACAATACCCTGGCATGGCTCTGGGACTTCCTCTTGCCCTGGTGCACAGCCTCTCCCTGGGTGATGTTAGCATTCTCTACAAACAGTGTGCTTCTGGCCCGATCCAGTCCCCAGTATCCACAGACCCTCCCTATGCTGACTTGGCCTGGACAAATGACTCACTGTCACCTTTTCTGGATTTTCCCATCAAGCCTCGATCTGTTGCATTTTCTAGGTCTGTTAAGAGGAGTTTGGCTATCCTGCTTCTTACTGCTCCATTATCCTGGTTCCTCCATCTTGGCTCCACCTCTACCCTCATATATTTTCATCTGAACAGACTGTCCCAAATAACTGTAGTGTTCTCCACCAAAAAAAAAAAAAAGAAATGCTTTCCTTCCTTCAGGCCCAAGAGGCTCAAGTGCCACTTAAATATATAGTTAAGGATTGTTATCTTTTCGGATCCCCACAGAAGTCCTGTGAGGTGGGTACTAACATTCTCCCTATTTTGCACTTAAAGAAACTTAGACAGAGTAAAGTATTTTATTCATTATTCCAGGCTACTTCTAACTCCTTCCTTAATGAAGCTTCCCCCAATCCCTCCTGATTAGAAATGATTCTCTCTCTCCCTTCCTGAATCTCTAGACCAGGGGGTTCTTAACCTGGGGGCTATGAGAGTTCATGGATAGATTTCAGGGGGTCAATGAACTCAGATGGGGAAAAAAATTCATCATTATTTTCACTAATCTCTAAGTGAAATTCAGCATTTCCTTCAATTACATATGTAAAACATTCTATAAATCTTAAAATTCCATAGAAATGCTTTTTGTTGTTGTTAAGTTGTGTCTGACTCTTTGTGACCCCATTTTGGGGTTTTCTTGGCAAAGAGACTGGAGCGGTTTGCCATTTCCTTCTCCTGCTCATTTTACAGATGAGGAACTGAGGCAAACGGGGTTAAGTGACTTGCCCAAGGTCACACAACTAGTAAGTATCTGAAGGCAGATTTGCACTCACAAAAATGAGTCTTCCTCACTCCAGGTTCAGTGCTCTATTCACTTCACCACCTAACTGCCCTTCCTTCAATTTGATGATGATGATGATGATAGCTAACATTTATATAGCACTTACTACATGCCTGGCACATGCTAAGTGCTTTACAATTATTATCTCATTGGATCCTCACAACAACCCTGGGAAGTAGGTGCTATTATTACCCCCGTTTTACACATGAACTGAGGCAAACAGAGGTTAAGTGACTTGCCCAGGATCACACAGCTAGTGAGTGTCTGAAGCCAGATTTGAACTCAGATCTTCCTAACTCCAGACTCAGTGCTCTATCTACGGTGCCACTTAGCTTTTTCAGAATCATATTTTTAAAACATTATTTAAAAACATGATTTTGAAACGGAGGTCCATAGTCTTTACCAATCTGCCAAAGGGTTCCATGACACCAAAAAGGTTAAGAACCTTTGTTTTTAGATGTCTCTGTTTGAACTCTCCTATGTACTTATGTATTGTTAGTTATTTTTTACACATCTCCACAAACTGGACTGTAAACTATATGAAGGCTGAGATGATGACTTTTCCATCTTTGTATCCCTGGCCCTTAGCACAAGAGTCTTATGTTTGGTGGAGGCCTAATAAATGTTTTGCTGAATTGAACTCACTGCCTTCCAAGGTCCATTCAAGCAGCGAGATGCTACTGGTTCCAATAGCTTATTCCCTCATGGCAGCAGATTGGAGAACCTGAGAATGTAGGTTTTCAGGCTGCTCTCCCTTCCCCTCTTCCCTCTGCTGATGAAAGTTTCCTCTTCTGAGGAGCTGTCAAAACCCCGCCTCCATCAATCAAATAGTCCATACTGGGCCATCACTAGGCATCTTGACCTATGTCTTGACTCTGATGACTCTGAAGGAGAGAGTAAGGCTGACAACTTTGCACAGCTCTGTCTCACTTAAATCTAATTCACTTACTTGCAAGTCAAGACATCACCCTTCTGATGTCAGAATAAAGACAAACAACAACATTTTCATTGAGTGTCCTGTGTCCTGACCTTTGCTAAGCTGAGGGAGATATAGTTACATGTGGTATATTTCCTGCCTTCCAAATGATTACAGTTTAGTCAGGAAATAAGATTAATGCACGTTCTTCTGGCATTCAATTCAATAAATGATTGTTAAGCATCTAGAAATAGATGTCTGGTACTAAGAACTTAGGGAGATATGAAGAGAAGAAAGATTCTAAACTGTGCATATCCTTGGATCAAACAATAGCACTATTAAGAAAATCAAAAAAAGAGAAGGACCTATAAGTAAGAAAATATATATGGTGGCTGTTTTCATGGTGGCAAAGAACTGGAAAGGGAGTACCCAATCAGTTGGGGAATGGCTGAACAAGTTATGGTGTGTGTGTGTATATATATATACATATATTATATATATATATATATATATATAATGGAATACTATTGGTGTTGTAAGAAATGATGAAAGGGACAGTGTTGGTGAAACCTGGGAAGACTTTTATAGACTGATGTCTGCATCGGTGAAGTGAATAAAACCAGGAGAACAATTTATACTGTAATAGCAACATTGTAAAAATGAACAATTTTGAAGGACTTAGAAACTCTGATTATCCAATACAATGCCCAGCCATGATTTCTGAAAGATTGATGCCACCCGGCTTCTCACAGGGAAGTGATGGATCCAGGTTGCAGAATGAGAGCCACAATTTTTGAACATGGTCAATGTGAGGTTTTGTTTTGCTTGACTATGTTCATTTGTCACAAGGGTTTTGTTTTTCTTGGGGGTAGTGATGGGGCAGGATATGAGAAGGACAAAAAATGAATGCTTGGTAATTGAAAAAAAATTAATTAAAAGGAAAAAAAGATAAATCGGACGATCCTTTCCCCCAAGGAACCAACAGCCTAGAAAAAATCCAGCACAAGAGATAAGATCTGAACAACTCAAACCAGAATGTAATCAAGTGTTAAATTATGTGCGATAGATTCTAAATATGGTAAGCGTTGCAGGGATGGAAGGATGAGGGATGGCTGCAATCAGTATCTGTCATGGAAGAGGGGGGCCTTGAAGGGTGGGTAAAATAATAAATCAAAGCATTTATTAGATCTAAAAGGGACCCTAGAGTCTAGGGTGTGTCGGGTGTCTAGCTTGACACTCTTCTTTCACGGACCACAGATTAAAGAAGGAAAGGGCAGATGTGAGACCTCGCCCTGCTTTCAGAAAGGGCTGGGGAGAGGAGAACACATGGCCATCCTGGGGAGACAGGCCAGCCAGGCCTTTCAGCTCTAACTACTGAGATCGGGATCCCTGCGGATGACGACCTGGTCAGTCTGGATTTCTAGCCCAGAGCCCTTTAAAGAGCTTAACTGGAAACAGCTGGAAGGGGGTGAGGGATTAAAATCACCAGGTCCTGGGCCCAGCTGACCTCAGGTCTGGGGGAATTGAGCCAGTCCCAGCACGGTGAGTGTCAGAGTCAAGGGGCTCACCCATGTGGTTCTCCATTGGCAGCAGCAACCTCTTCCCTCCTCCTTCCAAGGACTGGCTCCAGAATGCTCTCTCAGACCCTGAAGGGCTAGGCTGGGGGGGTGAGGGACAAGGTGCTGCAGGGAAGGTGCTGAAGATGTGCCCAGCAGAGGAGGAGGACAAAGAAGAAGAGTGTGCTCTGCTCTCTCTCCTGGACAGAGGAAAACTGGAGGAGACGCTGGGGCCTGACTTAGTAAGTAAATCCCCCTTCTTCCCGCCCCTTGCTCAGGGTGGCATCATTCATCCGAGAAGCATTTAACAAGAGCTTACTTTCTAGGGGCCAGGCAGGCATTAATACTAGGGGTGCCCTGCCCTCAAAGAGCTTCCATTCCAATGAGGGTCTAGGAACGTACAACATACGTTCAGAGTAAAAGGAAGGTGCTCTCAGAGGGAAGGCAGCTGGAGAGACCCTGAAATGCCTCCTGTAGAAGGTGAGATGTGAAATCAGTTTAAAGGAAGCTCGGGAAGCAGAAAGAGCATTGGAGTTCAGGTCCATTGACTCGCTGAAGGCAAGAAAGTACTCCTGTAGTTTCTTCCTCTGAAAAATGAGGGCCAGGAGGAGCCTAGCTCCCTAAAAGCCTCTGTATGGGCTCATGTTCCTAGGAGTCTGGGATTCCTATCCATCCTTTACCAAACTTGTCTTGATTATGCAGTCCCTGAGGGTGGACCTCCAGGTCCATGGCAGTCTCTGCTGAATCCTCATAGGCAGATTCAGTGTAGGCACTGACTTATCTCCTGGGGAAGGAAAGGAAGGCAAAGAAAGATTCTATAGCAATAGATCATACAGTCCTCTGAAAGAAGCTAGGAGGATCTTTAGAAGTTTAAAAGAGAGTCCTAGAGTGAGAGCAAGTGATTGAGGGGGTTGCAGAGAACGGGCCACTGGTATCTTCCCCTGGGTTCCATTCCCCTCCCCCATCCCACTGGAGTTCAAAGGAAACTGGTCTCTGAGGGAGCCTGACTTTCACAGGAGGCAGGTGTTTCCGCCCATGTGCCCCAAGAAGATGGGCGGGAGCTAGAAGACATCAGAACCAAGCTACAGAAAATAGAGGCGGCCCATGAGAGACAGGAGCTCAAAGGGATGGAGGAGACAGAACAGCAGCAGCCCCATGACGAGAAGGAGGCAGCCACAGAAGCTTCCAGCCCCTCTCCAGCCCCATGTGACAATGAGGCCACTCGTCTTCTGACCCCAGGGAACGGTAGGAAGCTGCCCCTTGCACTTTCTCCACACTCTGCTGGTACACACAGGCTTTGGGGAGGGTGAAAAGGAAGTAGGAAAAGAGAGCCTGGAATGGGAAGGGGCATCCATTTGTCTGCAAGCTTCCAGGAGTCGCAGTGTCTGGGAGACATGACCTCTAACCCCGTGGATGCTTGGCTCTGAAGTGTCCAGCCCTTCTGCCCCCTGATCTGCACAGTGGTACTCCCACCTATCTTGAGTTCCTCCTGCAAATAATTTCTCGTTCTAGGTATACCCTTCCATGGGACACCCATTGAGAAGGTACGGGCTGATCACAGATCTGTCTACGTAGGCAATGTAAGTGGTTGGAAAGGGCACTGAGGGTGAGGGACTATTGGTCAGGTGAACCCCAAGATGAGGTGAGAGGGTAGATAAGACAAGCCACAAGCCTTTATAGACAGCCACACTGCCTGCCTTTAACCTTGACTATCTTGGCCCAGCATGAACCAATTAGATAAAAATGTCTGGAATGTCTTACTACTACTACTTCTCTGAGGATGGGGCCCTTGATGGTCAGAGGGGCATTAGGTCATGATGCTTAAGCCTATGAGGGAGCTCCTGCTGCAGAAGGAATGAAGGCTAGGTAAAGAAGTCTCCTTCATGGTGACTGATGGGTGGGACACTATTGGTCTTTGTGGCCAAGGCACCTACGCTGACCACCATGAGGTCAGTCTGAGCTCTGGTTCTAGTCTCTGGAGCATCCTTTGGGGAGAAGGGGAGGAAAGGTTTGAGAATACACTTGGAGGAAGTAGGTAGAATTTTTTATTTTTTGCTACAAATGCCTACCAGATTGTTTGTCACAATCTGGGTGCACACACACATACACACGCATGCACACACACACACACATACACACAAACACACACACAAGCTGAGCTCTGATGGGCCAGTATTTCCAGGTGGATTACAGTAGCACGGCTGAGGAACTGGAGTCCCTCTTCAACTGCTGTGGTGAAATCAACAGGGTCACCATCCTCTGTGACAAGTACTCTGGACACCCCAAGGGGTCAGTGCTAGGGCTCGTGCGGAAGGGGAGGAGGGAGAGTGTTGGATTGGGTTGGGGTTAATCCCAACCTTGCCAAGATCCTATGATTGGTTAGATGCCTAGATATTAATTCGCCCCTCTGAGTCACTGTTGTATGATAATCTTGGGCATAAGCAAGAGTTGGGTCGTCTTCATCTTCTGCCCCTTCTCGGGAGCTTTGGCCCTAACCCTCACCCTGACCCGTCCCTCTCCTTAGGTATGCCTACATTGAATTTGCCTATGAGGATTCAGTGAAGACTGCTATGGATCTGGATGAAACCACCTTTAGAGGCCGGATAATCAGGGTGAGTTTATCAGAGGCCAACAGTTAGAGGATGGATGGATAGAAAACGCCATGCAAATCAATAGATGTTTAGTAAACCTCTCATTCTTACATAGCCCAGTGATAATGGATTGAAGGGATAGAAGGATAAAGATTGGACCTGTGTAGGCAAGTGTTCAGATAGGAGACCCTTGGGGAAGTAGTATCAATAAAACACTTCCTTCTCTCATGTTCCCTATATCCAAAGATAACTGAAGTTTCCATTCTGACGTGCTAAGAAAATGATGGCAACCATTGACATAAATGAGAAATCCAGAAGAGTAGTTGGGATATTTCTTTAGAGAAAGGGAGTTATTCATTGTAAAAAAGAATTCTATGTTGTTGTTCAGTTGTTTCAGTCATGTCCAACTCTTTGTGTGACCCCATTTGGGGTTTTCTTGGCCAAGATACTAGAGCAGTTTGCCATTTCCTTTGTTGACTCATTTGACAAATGAGGAAACTGAGGCAAACAGAGTGAAGTGACTTAACCAGGGTCACACAGCTACTGTGTCAGAGTTGGGATCTGAACTCGGGAAGACGAGTCTTCCTGATTGCAAGCCCAGCACTCTGTCCACTATGGTGCCACCTACCTGCCTCAGGAATTCTATCTTTTTGCCCAAATCCAACCCCTCTCTAACCTTTTCTATTTCCACAAGAGCCATTACGGTCCTCCACGTCACCCATGTTGGTTACTTCTTGAGCTGTCCTCGATTCTCCCACATCAAATCAGTCGCTAAGTCCAGTTGTTGGCCATCTCTTAGATCTACTACTCCCTTATCTCATTCACACGGTCACCCTCATAGATGAAGCCCTTATTACCTCTTCCTTGGGCTGTCAGAATAGCTTTCTCATTGTTCTGTCTCCTTCCAGTCTCTCTTTTCTCCCTCCTTCTACTCACCTGCCAAAAACTGCCTAAGGCACAGCTTTGACCAGAAATCCTTAGAGGTTCCGTCTTACCTCTAGAATAAAATAAAGACTCCTTAATTTGACATTGAAAAGTCTTCCCAGTAAGACTGGAGCCCAACTGCACAGTACACCCCTTTGTGTGTTCCGCATTTTAGTCTAACAGTACAACTATCTGTTCCTTAAGTTTAATAAGTCATTCCGCTAGGCATTCATATGAGCTGCTGCCCATAAATTATCCACCCTCGATGAATTAGCCAATGGCTTGTGTCTCCTCAAATTACCTTCTTTTATACTTATCTATATAAAGGTTCTATTTCTCACTCATCCCCAATAGAATGTAAGCTCCTTGAGGGCAGGAATTTTTTTTTTTTGTTATTATCTTTGGATCCTGGTGTCTTGTATATATCCAGTATTTAAGATAGGTATTCATGGAATGGGGCAGCTAGGTGGCACAATGGAGAGAGTGCTGGACTTGAGTTCAAATCTGATCTTGGATATTTCCTAGCTGTGTGACCCTAAGCAAGTCATTTAACCCTGTTTGCCTCAGTTTCCTCATCTATAAAATAAGCTGGAGAACGAAATAGCAAACCACTCCAGTATTTTTGCCCAGAAAACCCCAATGGGGTCAATGAAAAGTTGGACATGACTGAAAATAACTGAGAAATTCATGGAGTAGACCCTCCTGGTAAAAAATGTGTTCATTTTACTGGGTTTTCTGGAGATTGTCCTAACCTAAACAGATGCTAGTGACAGACCATCTGTAGAAGGGAAAAAGTTTAGAAGAAGGTGAGGCTTTGTGATAGTCCTCAGATCCTGCAAAGTAATAAACAGAGCTAGCCCAAACTTGAACCTAGTCAGATCTCACAAGCAAAGCTTTGGGGAGTTTCCAGTAGGACCTGATTTAGGGCTGATGTCCCAACCAGCAAGTGTGTTATCTTGGAGTCTTAGAGACATCTGAGACTTTTTTTTTCCAACTTCATCTTCTTACCAATGACCTCTTAAGGGGTGGGGTGGGGTGGGGATCTGCTTTCTATTTCAGGTTCTGCCCAAAAGGACCAATCTTCCTGGGATCAGCACTACAGACCGAGGTGGCCTGCGGGCTCGACATTCTGGCAGAGGAGGCCCTCTCCAACGGTATGGTCTTTATATTGGGGAACGATCAAGGCCAAGGTGGAGAAGTCACAGGTAAGGGGCACCTTGGGAGTCTCAGATGGGGTGAGGGACAGCCCAGATCAAAATCCCAATAGCATCTGTTTTTTCACTCTCAGCCTGTACCACCTACAGTGGTGGGGAAGAGCAAGAAACCCCTCTTTGGACAGACTGGACAATTCTAGCCACCCTCATAGCACAGCCAGATCTGGGATGGGATGGACAGGGCTGAGTTGGGGGAGGAAGCCAAGAGATTTTAGTTGCTAATTCTAGGAAAGGAGAATATCTAATTAGATTTTGAGTCAAGAATGGTCTTTCCTTTGAAGTCGCTGTCATTGAGTTTGTCATGGCAATGTGACAAAATGCTGGCCGGGTTAATTTCCTGCTGGATTGATCAGACTTTTCAGATATGGCAGGAGGTAAAGGAGTCCCAAACCACCCAGTAATTTGCATCAGGCAAGCCGATACTGAGTTCCTACAAAGCTATGCAGAGCACCCTCGTAGAGGTAGATGGTGGTAGAGTAACCCATGGATGAGTGGGTCATGCCAATAACAGCCCAATCCAATCTATCTACTTGTTTTTAAGGCTTTGCCCACTCTGATAATACACAACTCCTGATCCATTTTTCTCTCATAGGGGACATGGAAGATTCTCCCAGTGGTTTGAGCCATATTAAAGGGTTGGACTGGTGATGTGAGCTGTGAAGAAAACAAGATAACTGAGATCTGGGACCATATTAACTACATAACCAGTGTGCTCAGCTAGGATTCAGTGGGGGTGGGGTGGCATTGAATAAATCTGGTCCAGAGTACAGTGCAACCAAAACAGATGGCCAGCTTGTCAGGCAAAACCCAGTGGCTGAACTACAGATCTGTAAGAGGCCTCAGGTTGTGGAAGCATGTGAAGCTCTTTCCTTTTTTGTTTCTGTCTCTGTCTAGAGGCAGATCAGTCCATGTTATAATGAAGGCATGTGGACTCCCTGATGGCCAGTGCTCTTAGAACTACTCTGGTCTTAGACCTCTGGTCTTTTGGCCCCTTGGACCAAGGCTGGCAGGACGTTTTCAGCCAAAGCCTTGAAATATTATGATACTAAATCGAGGTATCTGGCTTTCAAGCCTCTGGCTAACCTCACCCTGACCCTTTTCCATTTTGAGAGCACCATGACTTTAGTTTGGGATTGCAAATAGGGTGATCACCAATGCAGGGTGGGGGGAGTCGGGGAGGAAGGGACAGGATGAAGCTTTAACCTAGCATGGCTTATAGTTCAAGTTAATGATTTTTAACAGAAACAAATGTACAGAATGTTTTCTTAATAATATAAATAATTAAATTTGAAATATTTTTTAAAAAGCACGGATGTTTTCTTTTTATTCACCCATCAACTAGTTGTGGTTCCTCTTCCTACTGTAAATGCAAACACTTAAAGAGGCAAGAGCTCCTTTCATTACAATGGAAAATGTAGACTCTTTTAAGGAACACGGCAGATGTCAAGTATCTTCTGTTCACCAACCATATGTCTGAGGATGGGAATAGGGTTGACTTTTTTTGGACATGTGGGTTTTCACTTCTTTGTCTACAAGCTGGCAGGTGGTACCCGCCCGAGTTCAGAGAAGGCTGATTGTGGCTTTAATGAACAACTAAAATTTGAATTTGAGTGAAATTCTTAAATATATTACTAGCTAAACTTTTTGTTAATTTATTTACTACTTAGCTTATTAAATTTTTTTATTACATGCCTAATCAAGCTTTGTTTCCCGAAACTCTGCTTAGGGTGTTCTCTCCTGTGTCTAGCACGGGGCCAAGCACAGAGTAGGCACTTTAATAGATGCTTGCTGGTTGATCTGCCCACTTATAGGCTGGTGTCTGCAGGTGGCCTTCCCAGAAGCACTGGTTTCTGCTAATTTAGTAACAGCTTTTATTAAGAATTGCTCTTTCTAGGGCTGTATTCCAAAGAGATCATACAAATGGGAAAAGGACCCAAACGTTCAAAAATATTTATAGCAGTTCTTTTTGTGGTGGCAAAGAATTGGAAATTGAAGGATTGCCTATCAATTGCGGAATGGCTGAACAAGTTGTGGTAAATGAATGTAACGGAATACTATTGTGCTATAAGAAATGATGAGCAGGCCGACTTCAGAAAAACCTGGAAAGACTTGTATGGACTGATGCTGAGTGAAGTGAGCAGAACCAGGAGAACGTTGTACACAGTAACAGCCATGTTATTCGATGACTAATATTGATAGACTTATCCCTTCTCAGCAATGCAAGGATCTAAGACATCTCCAAAGGCCTCATGATGGAAAATACCATCCACATCCAAAGAAAGAACTATGGAGTTTGAATGCAGGTCGAAGCATACTATTTGCTATTTTTTTTTTCTTCTGTTGTGTTTTGTTTCCTCTTTCTGGTTGTTCCTCCTATTGGTTCTAATTCTTACTTACAACATCACCAATGTGAAAATATGTTTAATAGGAATGTATATGTATAGCCTATATCAGATTGTGCGCCATCTTGGGGAGGGAGGGGGAGAAAAATTTAAAATTCAAAAGCTTATGGAAGTGATTGTTGATAAATGAAAATAAATTAATTTTAAAAAACATAAGAAAGAATTGCTCTTTCATCACTTTCCTGCTAATGTTTTCTTTCAGTGCTTTCTACTCTTGGCACTAGCACTCAAAGGCTCTGTCTGCCTCAGAATGGAATCTCTGGCAGGTTCTAATCAACATCAAATGGCTTAGCAGCTAAGCCAGGTGATAGTGTGACCATAGGTACATGCTGCCCCAAAAGCAAGAGTGCTCATCCATCCCCAGAAAAGCTGTCTACTTGGTGGTGAAATTTTCAGCCATGGATACTTCTGAAATATGGAGGGGTGGGGAGTGGCATAGAATATGGAGGGATTGCAATTTGGATTGGCAGAGGGAGGTATACCTACAACCAACAAAATGACAGATCCTTTCAAGAAAAAAAAAAAATATATATATATGTACAGTCCTTTGTGGTTCATATCTTTACAAATGTCCTCATTTGATCAAACCTACAAGACCCTTCTTCTTCATTTAATCTGTCCTACAGACTATCTTCTCTGAGAAAGATGACGGGGTCTTCCTGGCTCTGGACTGAGGGGTTCTCCCTGCAATTAGATGAAATAGTTTGTAAAGTACTTGTATCTGGCACATAGTAGATGTTTAATAAATACTTGTTTCTTTCCTTGGTGGGAACTAGATATGAGAGTAGTTCCTGCTTTGGTTTCAATACCCTATTTCCTACAAAGCTGTTGCTGCTTGCTCCTTATTAATGATCACAAGGTACCTCTGGATTGTCTCCATTTGCTTGGGACAACCTTTTAATAGTGCTCTTTGGGGTAGGATCAAAGCAGAGGACTCCTACAGGTAAGAGCAAGTCCTCCCTCATAAATGATGGTCTAGGGAAGAGGGCAATGGCTCCATGGAAGGAAAAACCTCTTCTTGGCTCACTGCCCAATGCAATGTCAAGTGACTGTGCTATATATACACAAGATGGGAGTAATAATAAGGATTGCTAGCATTTTTTGTTTCTAAAATATTTTTATTTTGTTAAATATTTCCCAATTACATATGTATTTTTAACATTCAGTTTTTAAAATGTTGAGTTCCAAATTCTCTACCTCCCCTCCCCCACCCATTGAGAAGCAAGTAATATATCAATAACATGTATTTTGATACATATCAAAAATTTTTCCATGTTAGCCATGTCACAAAAAAATAAAAAGCAAGAAACATAAAGAAAGTGAGTGAAGTATGGGCCGATCTGCACTCAAGAGTTCATCAGTTTTCTCTCTAGAGGTGTGCAGCATTTTTCATCATGAGTCCTTTGCAATTGTCTTAGATCACTGTATTGATTAGAGTACCTAATCTTTTACAGCTGGTCATCATTACAATGTTGCTATGACTGTGGTTGATTACTGTTACGATACTGCTGTTACTGTGTACGATGTCCTCCTGGTTCCGTTGACTTCACTTTGTATCAGTTCATATAAGTCTTCCCAGGTTTTTCTGAAACCATTCCCTTCATCATTTCTTACAGCACAACAGTATTCCATCACAATCCTGTACCACAACTTGTTCAGCTATTCCCCAATTGACAGACATCTCCTCAATTTCCCAATTCTTTCAGGTATTGCGCTTTACAGGTATTATTTCATTTGATCCTTTCAACAACCCTAGGAGATAGGTGGTATTATTATTTCCATTTTACAGTTGAGGAAACTGAGACAAACAGAGGCTAAATGATTTTCTCAGGGTCACACAGCTAATATCTAGAGGCAGATTTGAACTCTGGTCTTCCTGACTCCAGGTCCAGAGCTTTCTGCACGGTGAGAGGCCCTAGGTGCCTAAACAAACCTTCCATGATCCATCTTTTCTTCAAGGCTCAGTTCAAGTGATAACTTTTTTTTTTTTGGCTAGGCAACAGGGTTAAGTGACTTGCCTAGGGTCACACAGCTAGTAAGCGTCAAGTGTCTGAACTGGGGTCCTCCTGACTTCAGGGCCGATGCTCCATCCACTGTGCCACCTAGCTGCCTTTCAAGTGATACCTTGTAAATGAGGCATTCCCATTCCCTTAAAGCAGATAACAGGCTCATTAAATGATTCCTGCCCTTTCTTCCCCCTACCAAAAAAAAAAAGAATTACTGGTATTTATTTTGTTTATGTTTTACTAAACAAGTCTCCCTTGGTTAAGCTATAAGCTTCTTAAGGGTAGAAATTGTTTGGTTTTAGATCCTTAGCACCTAGCAGTGCCTAGCACATAGTGGGCACTTAATATCTCATTGACGGGAAGTAGACTGACGAACCTCTCATAAGATTCTAAAGGTCTGACAAAAAATGAGAAAACTCTCTTCTAACACTGACTTAGGAATCATAGGCTCATAGATTTAGGATAAACCTACCTGGCAGAAGCTAGGGGGCGCAACCCTCAGTCACTAGCTGTGTGATTCTGGGCAACTCACTTTACCTCTACCTGCCTCAGTTTCCTCAACTGTAAAATAAAGATAATAATAGGGTTGTTATTGTGAGGACCAAATGAGATAGTTGTAAAATGCTTAGCATGGTGCCTGACACATAGTAGGTATTTAATAAATGCTTGTGTCTTTCCTGGTCCAACCCCCTCATTTTTACAGATAAGGAAACTGAGGCTTGCCCAGGGTCATATAGGTAGTAAGTGGCAGAGGAAGAATTTGAACTCAGGTCCTCTGACTTCAAGGCCAGCATTCCTGATTCTTGTTATTGTTCAGTTATGTCCAACTCTTTGTGACCCCAGTTGGGGTTTTCTTCTCAGAGATCCTGGAGTGCTTTGCCATTTCCTTCTCCAGCTCATTTGACAGATGAGGAAACTGAGGCAAACAGAGTTCAGTGACTTGCCCAGGGTCACTCAGCTAGGAAGTGTCTGATGCAAGATTTGAACTCGGGGATGTTAAGTCTTCCTGACTCCAGGCCCAGTGCTCTGTGCACCATGGCGCCACCTAGCTGCCACATCTTGGCTCTACCATGCTATAAATAGAACTGCTATTGCTTACAACATCTACTCTAGTCTTATCTTCTAACATAAGCAATATAAAGGAGTTTGCCGCCATATTCTCTTCTATTCAGTTCTCTCATCTTCCATTCCCAAATATGTACAAAAAAGGCTTACTGGATGTTTTCAGGGGATTTGAGGAACCAAAGTATTGGCTATAATATGTTTGTGATGGTGGGTCTGTCTCTCCCTATTAGTTTACATGCTATCCACTCTGGTTTTATCACATTTCTGGGTTGTAGTTGTTTTTTCTGGGGGGGGGGGAGGGAAGGAGTGTCTCCTAGGCAAACCTGGGGACCGCTGTGACTTAGGTTTTCAACTCTTCTACAGGCTTCCATTGTAAGAAGAAGAAGTGGTAAGAACTGGTAAGAACAACTATTTATCACACCACTACCATGTACCAATCACTATGCATATAAATAAAAAAATGAGACAGTCCCTGTACTCAAAGAGCTTACACTCTACTAAAGGGGATACAATCCATGCACATACAAAACTAATGGGGGGAAGGGCATAGAGATGAGGATGAATAATATACTAACAGCTAGGAAATCAGAAAAAGTCCCTCGAAGGGAGACCTCCTGAATAGCTCCAAGACCCTCCACAGAGAACACAGAACAGGTGAAGGGAGTAATGTGTAATCATCCTGGAAAGCCAGGATGCTCTTCTCCCCTTGCTATGACCTCTCTTAAGACTTGAGACCTAGCTGTGACAGGGCCTTACATTTGGCCTAAGACAGGAGGCCAAGACAGGAAATCATTTTTAATGATTTCTAGGGAACCACCACCGCTGGCCAGTACATTTCAGTCCCTATCACCGCTGCCAAGTTTACAGGAGTGTGGCAGTTCAAAAATCTCTAACTGCTTTGGATGTCTGAAGGACTTTTTTCTCTGACCAATAACTCCAAACATTAGAGCTATATCTAATGGCCGGGGGGGGGGGGGGGTTCATTAACACTGTGAATGGATAATGGTTGCTGGTGAAAGGCCAGCTGCCATTTCTCTCCTCCTGAACTTCCCACTACTAAAACAGAGAAAGAAATCAATTGGAGTAATCACTGTGGGATTGATCAGTGCTAACAACCTCCCCACCAGCAACTCGGGCCCCAGGGGTTTTGCAGGATCTTATGGCAGCTGTTGGCAAAACCTAGCTGAAGCCCCTCTAACTGAGGTTAGGAGGCTTAACCTTGACCGACCGGCTAGACTGAATAGTTTACTTTTAAACAAACAAAACCCTTTGAAGCCAGAGGGATTCCTATGGTGACAGAAATGAAATGTAAAGTCTTTGGCTAAAGGTATAAAGATGACGACTAAAACAAGGGAGCCCCAAAGGGATCCCTCATTCCAACAAAATAGGCCGAAAAACTTATACTCTTGACCAGGGGTTCTTGACCTTTCTTGCGTGACAGACCCCTCTGGAAG